AAGACCATTTCCCCCCGGTTTTACATGTATTTGTATGGGGAAAAATGATTCACCTTACGACATTTTCATGATACGATCTCAGTTTCGGAATGGATTAATTTCGTATCCTGAGGTACCACTTTATAATGAATATAAAAAGTATATTACTTTTTATATTCACTTACTTAAGCTGAAAATAGGAAATTTTGAATTTTTTTAAAAACAAAATCAGAATGCTGTTAGTAAAATATGTGTAGCTAACATCAAATATAAAAGTAATATAAACTGTCATAAATATTTTAAATTTTGAAAATATAAGGAGAACTATAATTTTAAAATATTTTATAGATTTTATAAATCAAAAGTATTAATATTTAAGCATCTCATATATAAGCAATCATTAAGTATTAAAAAAAACTGAATTATTTTAAAAATAATGAACAGTCATTATCAGTAACAAGAAAAATATACTATGCAATAAAAAATTTTAAAATAGAAATATTACTAAATTAAATTATAAAATGTGTTTAGTATTTAAATGATTTAAGCAATACAGAATATGCAAACTTTGAGATAATGTGTATTCCTATTTTTAGTTTGTGTTAAACTTTATTTTTACTGTTTAGTATTGAGGCTCTTAGTCCTGTCTTGGGATTATCCTGGAGGTTAAAGTGAGGTAGAATTTGGTGTTTGACATGATGATTTTTTTTTATGTTATTCCTTCTAGTAGAAGGAGACAACACAGAAAATTATTATGACAAACACCAAATTAATGGGAAAGAATTATCAGAAATATAAATACCACTTGATACATTCATATGTGAAGTTGAATTCATATTTGAGAAAATCCTTTAACATTCATAAGTTAAGTTACATAAGTTGTTATTATTTGGAATAGGAAAAGTGATAGTTATTGGCCACTTAAGGAAATTCTTTTATAAGACGACAAAGATTAAATCGGGAATAAAAATTCATATATATATGAATTTTTATTATGAAGTATATATATATATATATATATATCATAATACATATATATATATATATATATACATACTTTCTACAGCCAACATTACAAACATCAATTATTTAATCCAAAATGTTCTTTGGCTTACAAAAATACAGAGTTGTATAATAATTGGCCAAACAAAACAACAAAAAACAAAAAAACCTGTGGAATTTTTTTGTTACCTACTGACAATTTACTTACAGCATAAACTTGTATTAATACTACTGTGCAATATTTCCACATAGCTTTTATAGAACTGCTATTAAAGAGGTTTAAATTCAAAATAGTCAATTACTGTCTGATGGCCAATAACTATACTGTTTACCCTATCATTTATATCACACTGTTCAAATATTTTACATTTAAATATATATTTTATTTTTAATAAATACTTCTTGATATTATAATTATTAATTAGAAAACTACATTATTTTATTTATTTTATAGTATATTGTTACATGAAGTAATTTAAATTATAAAATATTTTTCAGATCAAAGTTGTAGATAACACAAAGTATAGAAAGATATATGAAGAAGTATTAAAGAAGCTTGATAAGTTAGAAAATGAATTTTTGCCTCAAGTTACAGTTGATAAAACAGAGGTAAGAATATATTAACAATTTAATTTATAATATAAAAACTAATATTTACTTAATTTAGTGTGTTTAAAGATAACACATTTTGCATTGTTATATTTATAAAATAAAGAAAATTTCATATTAATAATGTAAAAATACAAACATACTATATATATTTATTAAATTTAAGCTACATTGTAGCAAATCATTTTTCTAAAAATATTCTAATACTATAAATATATATATAAATTTTTTGAAAGTTTATATATATAAGCTTTCAGAAAATATGATCTAAGATTCACATTTATAAAACCATCACACAGGTTGACTATATCCTTTTAAAAATACTATTCTTTCTTGTTAGTTTTATAAATTAATTGCATTTAGTAAATCTTGTATTGAATGACAACTTATTGCAGGATGCAATTTTCTTATGCTTTTATAATGTCTCAATAAAGTTTTCAAGCTATTCATAAAGAATAGAGTTTACAATATAATGCCATAGTAAAATAACATGAAATTATAGTATGTAAATTTAAATGTTTTAATAATTTTAATCTAAATTTAATTTATTATATTTTTTATGTATTTAACTATAATTTTAATGGAATACATATTTATTATTTTAATTAAGTTATTTTAACTTAGAAGTTTAACATATTCATAGCATTTTATCCTCTTTAGTTTTGTTTGAGGCCAGTTTTTATATGTCATTTTAAAACAATATATATTTAAGGTTATTAGAAAACCTATTAGAAAAATTTGATTTAGATCCTGTTTATCATTCTTCATTAAACAATTCCTTCCTTTATATACTGGTATATGTATTAATAATATTTTCAGTTATCTTAATAGCATATTATAGCCTATGCCGATGATATTAAACTAAAAAATCAAGACCTTGTTTCTATACAATCAGACCTAAACTTGCTATTTGAATTATTTGAAAAGCCCAACTTAAAAGTTAATGCTCAAAAAACTTGCTATGTGGTTTTTGTTAACTAGAAATTTTTCTTTTCCATCTTCCATTATTCATGCTGATCATATAAATCATATAATATGTTAATTCTAAATGATCTAGACATTATTTTTGATAGAAAACTCTCAAAAGTCGTATTGACAGAATATTTAAATTCCTTGCCATTTGATCCGGAATTTTATGAAGTTTTCTATAAAGATTTTTCCATCCCATATCCTCTAAAATTGTTGTGTGTTCCATTTTCTTCACTAATTTTCAGTTTCTTATTGAATAATTTATGCTAATCTGATTGATGGTTGCCCTCTCTCTCTTTTAGACAAAAATTATGAAAGAACATAATAAAATATATCTCACCTTAAATAAATTCTGTAACCTACCTTTTATCAGTCATCCTAACATTTTTAGGTTCAAATTGGGACTTCCCTTATTTAATAATCATATAAAATATTATGATTGCTATACCATAGATACTACAATGGTTATGTGATGTCTTATTGGCTTAGATTTCCTTATGCAATACTTGTAATTTTTTAAGCATCTATACACACTTTTTTTAGATTATCTCTCTCTCAAAAGTCATTTTTTTACCACATTTCACAAAATATAGTAGTTCTGAACATTTATTTCACATTAATTATTACTGTTTCCAAAAAGTCTGCAAACAAATATTATTCAATTTTTAATTTTTATTTCTTTTCTTTATAATTTTGTTGCTTTTTACTTATATTTTGTTTTGTTGTACTTTAGTTGTTGTATTTTATGAGTGAGGAAATTGCTGCAAGACTTTCCTATTGTAACTGAAAAAATATAAAAAATAAGTAAATAAATTTCAATGTTAAATTATAAATATGCCATAAACATGTATTGATGATGTTGTACTGTGTTCTGATTAAACTGGTATGTGAAACAATCCAATGGCACAAGAAATTTGCATCCTGCAATAAGATGTCATTCAATACAAGATTTACTAAATGCAATTAATTTATAAAACTAACAGGAAAGAATAGTATTTTTAAAAGGATATTGTAGTTAACCTGTGTGATGGTTTTATTTTTATCATCTCTGTGTCTGAATAAAATGTAATTTCTTTTTACACAAAGAAATGTTAATTTAATTAGAAAACAAATATTCAAAGACAAAAACAGATGGAGTATTACCTAATGATTATTTGTTTTATGTTAAAAAATAAAATAAAAGACTGTGATAACTAAGTCATATATTTTTAGAGCAGTAAATCATATTAAATCTTTGAAAAATCTGAGTTTGAGTACAGATCATATTTTTGGGGTGTTTTCATAAATGGTCTGGCTAGAAATGTCAAGTTTTATCCCTTACTTCCAGGTCATTTTATTGCAGATATAACTGTATTTATAATAGGTGTGAAAAAGTCCTACTAATATTCATAAGTCAGGGGAGAGAAGGGTAAAAAAAAATTAATACAAGTTGATTCTTTTAATTAATGGATTAGAAATTCAAATGAAACTACGTTTGAATTAGCAAATTTGTAAAATTATTTGTAAAGAAATTAAAAGTAGGTTTTGAATGAGCTAAGTTTTTGAGAATTTTATACTTAAAAGAAAATTATCAACATTATTTCTACATTTTTTATAAATAAATATCTTGTATTTTGAAGAAATCTATAGAATAGAATGTTTTTAATTAGTTAGTTCTTTTGCTTACTTTTCTTGTTTTTGCTACTTTTGATTAAGTTTACATTAAATTTACAATTATAAATTAATATTTTAAAAATAAAAACTGTACTTTGAAGCTATTTTAATGGTATTTTCTGAATGTTGTGATTAACTTAATAAAAAATCTTCAATTTGTGATATATTATAACTAAAAGAAATTTTAATATTTATATATATTATATATTTATAGATTCATTTTGATAAGGTTTCTTTCATTGAAATGCAGACACAATATCTAACAATTGCAAATACTGGACAAGTAAGTGAAATTTAAATATTCTGTTTAAATTTTAATATAATTTAATGTTATGATCAAACATTATTATTTTGTTTGTTTATATTAATTTCATTTCTATTTAAAATGTGTTTGTTATATAAAATTGTTTATATATAAATATCTTTAGATTTAATTTTATTGTATTCTGTGTATGATTTAATTTTGTATTGAATATTAATTTATTTTATACAAATTAGTTCTCTATTTTTATAAAAAGTAATATTTTTTACTTAAAACTATTTTCAAAAAGTGATTATAGTAGCAGATACTAAGTTTTCTATTGTTTACTATATTCCCTCTTGAATATCTAATTAACTTAGCTTATTAGAACTAAAATAAAATCTTGATAGGAAGGACATGGGCACATTGCTATTTTTTTTTCAGCTTTCCTGAAGAAACAAAAACAAAGTTAAAATAATACTAATGTAATTATATACAATTTGAACCTGTCTACCTTCAAACATGTTTATCTCAAAAAATGTTTTTTCTTGTATTTTCAGCCTAAACTTAATATATCTTCCATGTTTATCTAAAGTAATTTTCTTCCAAAATCTCTATATCTCAAAATATGGAATGAAGTGTCAGTTACAAATTCAAAGCTCAGTGACTACATTTTGATAGCATGAACTGTAGCCTAGAAATATCTTTTGTAAAATAGCACATACTCTAGTTGCAATTAATATCTCTTTTCTCTGATTGACTGAGGTTGGCTTGTGTCTTATTGGATGAAGAAAGTCATGATCAGAAATTATTGATAAACTGTTTATGTTAAAGTATGTCAAAAATGTTTTATTTACATTTATTAGGTACGTGCTGTACTAGCTATTGTATTAATAAAATACTGTACCAATCAAACCTGTTGCTGTTTACTTTGTAGGAATCTCTGTATCTCAATCTACCACAATTTTTTTTCTCATTCCCATGAGATTTGAGATAGACATGTTTAACTGTACATTGATATGTAATGTTATGTCATGTAATTAATAATAATATATGTGTTAGTTACTAATACAAAACTGTGATATATCAAAGACTCAGAAATGAATAACTATTATATTTACACTCAGCTTTATGTCTGATATAATCCTGTCAATTTCATGTATTGTTTTCAATTTATTTTTAAATTTATTGTAAACATCAATATTTTTTATTTCAAATCTTAGTTCTATTTATTTTTGAAATAAATGAACTTTTGTATAGTTTCAATTTTCAATCACTTTACGTAGTATTTTCTTGTATCTAAAAATCAGTGTTTGCATCTGTTATTGTACTTCAGTAACATATCTTTAAAATAAGTAGTATATTGGAAATTTGAATGGTTATATTTAAAGATATAATTTAATTACTTTTTTATTTATGAAAAGTTGGAGTTTTTTCCCTTCATTGTTATACTATGCAACTGAAGAAAACTGATCTTTATTTAACAAACTATATATGAATCAATTTTTCAACACATGAACTTTTAAGCATATTATGTTTTGATGTTGAATCCATACTATTTCACATTGCAAAAAAGGACTTAATTAAGCTTGATCCAGATATTTTAATACATGAAGATAAGTAACAAAAAATTTGTCAGTATTGTTTAATCATCATTGTATTTTTTGTTATACTGTTTTAGTAATTTTTGCTTTATTTGGTTTATTTATTTTCAAGTTTATTTTAGCATTTATTATTACTTTATAAATAAAAAAAAAAGGAAATGGAATGATATGATAAAAAAAATGTTATCATTCGGTAACCATTTGTATTTTCAACATATAGTTTAGGAGATTCTGCATCAGTATTCCATTTTTCTAATTCACTTATTTTCATAATGCTCTAATATTATATATTTGAGAACAAGAATTGAATTAATGGTCTGGGTAGCATTACTGATATTATGCTTATCAAGATTACAAGATTTTGCTCCATGTTAATCTTTTCCAGAATTTAGTTTATTAAATTTACGACATTACTATTTACAAGAACTGGCAGCACTGCTTGTGTGAGGATCAGAGTTTTATAGTTAATTTAGCATAAGATGCATTATTAGCATAAATGCATTATTTCTTACATATTGTTCACAAAAAGGGAGGTTACATTTGTCGTGTTTTCCAAGAAAAGGGAAATAAACTTCCTTTCTCACAGGACTTTATCGGTAATTCTGACCACCATCTGTATTTTTACCCCCTTTACATGTCATTGTGCATCCCATTATAACCTTGGATCATTTTATGCCATTGGTCAGAGTCCAATAAAAGGGTAGATTTCTCACCATTCGAGGCAGTCAATAGAAATCTAACCTTGCCACATAGATGACAGGCAGTTCATGAGAAGTCGAACATGCCATAAGATCTCTTCGACATCTTTTAACTTGTACACATACATAAAGAAGAAGATTGTCCTGACGAATTTATCCTCCATCTCCCATACTCCTCTGACAACTATTGACCAACTTACATCGTAAGATAGTATGATTTATATCATACTTGTAAATTCTCTCTCTCGTGAGAATTAGATAGGTTTTGTTACTCTTGTGATTAGGTTAAGAAATGTTATTCTCTCCATATATCTATATTTACTTTGTTAACCTTTATTAAATCTTGTTGTTAATTAAATATGGCCTCGTCTTTGAACTCTGTTCTATGTCAAGCCTTATCACTTACCCACTTATCTTTCCCACTTGTGGAATAAGCCCTCTTACTTTAATTTATTCACTATCTCATATTGTAAGTTAAACCACAATTTAAATAATAGTTTAACTGGTGTTGGGAATCCTGACTATAGATCGGGATTTTACGATCTTTGATCTAAACATTTTTTAAAAGCCATCCTACGAACCCATGACAGATCCACAAGATCTGTGCTGAATAAGTGGTAGAATATAATTAACTACCCTCGATTTTCACACTTGTCTTTAAGCCTATTATTTTAATAAT